GGCTTCCTGTGTTTATATGTTCCTTTGGGAGGAGGTGGTGAGGAACTGCACAGTTTGCCCCGCTGAAAACGATTTTCCCCTTGCCCTGTTCAGTGGTAATAATGCAGTTCTCCTCTCTGAGAGCGTGTTCATGGAGCACCAGAGAAAGCAGCCTATATTAGAGCATTTTATGGGTTTGGAAAATAGGCTGACTGGCTTCTTCCTAGTACTGTAACCTCAAAGCTACAGTAAACTCTACTAAGCCTGCTTTGCATCTTTCCATGCTTTGTTTGCGTGAATGTCAGTGCTCCTTTCTATGCACTGTTGCCAGCAATCCTGTGTATGCCAATACAAATACCAACTTGAGCTTGGACTCTTCTCCAAGCACATGGGAAAGTGCACTGAGCTGAGACAACACCAACCTGCCCCATCCCCCAAGTAGATACTGAACTGCATTCCTTTCCTCTTTTTTTAAAGTCTAAGACTGCATCTCAAATGCATCTGCTTTGAAAACCTCCAGCCTCTATAGTGTGCATTGCAGCATACATCTAGTTAGTAGGTGCTGTCCTGTCATTCGAGGGTGACTTGGGAACTAAGGATTTCAAGACGGGGAGTTGTGGTGAGGCAAGGGATGGCACCCCTCATTGCACATTGTGGTCTTTGATACCCAGAGGGGTGACTATAGCTGCTCCAGAATTACTGCTCCTTTCCCAGAGGTGTGCAGTCCTTGTTGGAGTGCATCTTGACAGACCTATGCTGGAAAGTGGATACTTTATTTGCTGGGTTTGCACTAATTGGGTCGTGGGGTTGGGCAGATGGCTAACAACAAAAGCCCCTCTGCATGGCCTGAGCATCTGTGTTTGCAGCACTCTGTGGCAGACTCTGGCTAGAAAGATGCAAACGGTTTCCTCAGCCAGAGGCAGCCTAGTTTTGACAAAAGCTTATTTTTAGTACTGCTAGGACCTGCTCGCACTGGTTACGTTGGCAGTTTCAGCATCTTTCTAGAAGGGGGTATATTGAAGCACAATTAGCTTGTCATATGCCAACATAGTTTCCCTGGCCATCTGTAGACCAAACCAAGAGAAGTATGTGCAGGGAGAGGGATAGTATTGTATTTGAGGATGTTTGTGCAGCACAGCTGTAATTCAGACCATAGCTGCCTCTGGTGCCAAGCAAAGTGCTCTTCATTCTAATAGAACTAAGTGTTTGGGTTGGGTAGATGGGTGTGGGGATATGAACTCTTAGGATTTGCTGTTGTCGTAGGCTTCCACAAATCGGTGTGTTTCACAAACAGTTTTCCTTCAGGTTTAAAAGTATGAGTCTGATGTCTGAAGTTACTTGGATTAACCTTTGTTTCTGTCTCTTTTGCTTTGGGCTGCCATCATTCTATGAATGTATCCCTGAAAACAATTCTTAAAGCTCCTATTCTACAGCAAACCTGCCTCATTGTAACTCCTGTTAAAACATTTTGTAGGAGGTAGAAGAGAGAGTGACCACAAATCTAAGACTCCTTTTCCCAGGCTATTAATTCTGGAAGCCAGTCGTTTAATCTTGAATACAAGGTTTAATCTGAATCTCATAGAAAGCTGTGTTCCCTGTACATGGATAAGGGCAGGTGAAGGTCAGTAGTTCTGGGTGACAAACAGTTGTATTTTATTGGTATATCGGTCATGTTGAGTGTGGGAGGAGAATGCTGTATCTTAGTGCTGTTACCCAGAGGTACTGAAATCGTGTGAATTGTCTGCTTACTGCAGAGACCTCCAGTTAGTTTGGTCATTGCTGCAGCAGGACCTCCTTTGAGTTTGGAAATAACAGCTTATGAACAACTGAATTTTCTGAAAGTTGGGAGAAAAAAAGATATTAGCACTTCCTCTTCTGGATGAAGATAGAGCAAGAAAAATGTATGTAACTAACAGCTTTAGAGTGTAAATTGTGTATATACGAGTTATTCCTGAATCTCTGCAACTGGTTTTGTCATACATCAGTTGAAGGATGAAGATGATATCCACAAAAAGACTCCTATTAGAGGAAACCATGGTACAGGGGAAAAAGAATCATCCAGGAGAGATATCCCTCATTTTTGGGAGGGGAAAGGAGAGAATTTATTTTGTGTATACAGAAGCCGGTTGAATTTACATGATGCAGCTAATGGTTAAACCTGCCAACTAAATATGACATACTGTTACCATTGAAATAAACTTACGTTGTATTTCGTTAAATCTTGATGGTGCCCTGTGTCTAATAAAAATCTGATCCCCTGAACTGTTCTTTTCTCCCCCATGTTGTAATCCGGGTCAGCTGCTATGCACAAAGTCTGTGTTTTGTGAAGTGTTTGCTGACTTGGATGTTTCTTTTGAATCTGCAACTGCTTCCTGATTCATTTGGCTAAGACCCCCCCCCCTCCCCCTTGGTGTCTTGAGTTAAGATTCACTAAAACTGTATACAGTTTGCAGATGCATTCTCAATGTTACAAGTTAAGTTGCAGGGGGAACAAATTATTTACAATAAGGTGGTCCATTTTTAATCTGTATCATTGCCCTTGTACATCAGGAGCATGTTTTTGTTTTTTTCTCAAACTCTTTAGAAATACTGTTCAGAATAAACGTGCACTATTTGAGTTATGTCATTTACAATTTGTCATGTGCACTTTCTTTGCAGTCCAGCTGTTTCCCTCTGAAATCAGATACAGAATATTCCTCAGATGTTTCCTGAACTCTGTAACTGGGAAGATTTCTACCATGTACTGTGAGTTGGGCTGCTGTGGTGAATGCCGTGGGTGTCTGACAGCTGAGGAGACTGGGGTCTGGTTGTTTCCCTGAAGCTATGAGTCTCCTCAGAAATTCTCTGTCGTGTGAGGTCAGGGGGAGGAGAGGAAGAAGAATTCTCCTGGAATAGTTTTGCATGAGCAGTCTTGGAACAAACAGTCCAGGCATTAAGAACACTGCAACTGGTTTGGGGCTGCATAGGTTATATATTTGAAAGCATTCAGACAAATTGCTAGCTATTGCAAATCTTCACAACAATCTTTGATAAACTGTGATCTGTACCTGTGAAAATAACTGGTCTTAAGATGCAGTGAGTACTATTCTGCACTGATTTTTCCCAGGTATTGAAGTAAAACTCGTCTCTCTTCTTAACTATTCCAGTCTCTTAAATCCATTGTTTGGCTGTAGCTCCTTTCTGTGCCTCTCCTGCTTTGACATGCCACTTACAAACTGATCAAGTTGCGCTGTGGTACAGTTTCTGGGGAAAGAAAAAAAAAAAGTTACCCTTAATACTCTATCCACTTATTTACATTCCTGTGGAAACTCCTTGGTCAGTAGATGGAGTTGCTTCCGTTCGTTAGGAATAGGAAAGTTCATTGGAAAAGAGTTCCAGAACAGCTGCGGAAGAAAACAACTGAGGCTGGAAGTGAAAAACTGTTTTACTGTGACTAGTAGTTGAATTGGGGGTTAGCAGGGGCAGAGCTGCTAATGACTGAGCCTCTGATTTAGAGGCCAAACCACCACTTTTCCGGTCAGATTTAATTCAAAAGGAAGGCGGTTGAAGGGTTTCATTCCCCAGCAGTGTCAGGAAGCTTGCACTGGAACAGCTGATGCTGCTACAGAGCCGAGGACGGCAGAGAACGCGGCCAATGCCCCTTTAAGTACCTCTGCCCGCCTATCGCCCCTGCGTGCTCCCCTTCCCGCTCTCCCCATTGGTCAGCTGAGGTGCCAGTCTCCGGCAGTTCCTGTTTCGGCCACCTTAACTTGTTGACGGGTCTCACGCCAATCTCAACCTCTCTGGCCTTTGATTGGGCCGCCCGCTCAATATTTCTGGTGGTGATTTGTCCGTGCCTGTTCCGCCCCGCCCCATCTGCGCCGAGCGACGCCTTCACCTCGTCTCGGCCTTTTTGATTGGCCTCCGCGCCTCAGCCCGTGCGCTCGGATTGGCTGCCATGTGCCGCGCGTGCGAGCAGCAGGGTGGGCTGCGCGGAGGGGGACTGGCGCGGAGGCAGCGGCAGGAGCGGAGGATGGTCCCCGCCGTGGGGTCGCCGCTGCTCAGCCCGCCCAGCCCCGCTGTGAGTGCCGGGGTGAGCCCGCTGCCTGCGGTCGGAGCGGAGCCTGGTGAGCGGGACGGGGGAGGAGGACGAGGAGGAGGAGCGGGCGCGGCAGCGGGGCCGGGGCTGAGAGGGAGCGGGCCGGGGCTGCCGGTGGCTGCCGCCCGCCCCTCCTCGCCCCGGTTGCCGTGTGGAGGAGGTTGGCAAAGGGGCGCCTCCACCCCGCGCGGGATTTTGGCCTTGTCGCCGTGGCGACCGAGGGCCGCGGGCCCTCACGCACTCCTCTGGGAGCCGGCTCGGGCCTCCTCGCCCGCCGGTCGGGCCGGGGGTCGCTCCCCGCCCTTGTCGCCCCGGGCCTCCCCGGTGGTCCCTTTGTTTTGCCCAGTGTGCCCCGCTGCGCCCGGCCAGCCCGCGGGGGCCTCGGTAGGGGCTGCGGAGCCCCCGGCGGGAAGGCGGCTGCTCCTCGGGTGCGCCCGCCGGCACCGCCGTGCTGGTGCCGGTGACGGCCGGGGTTTGCTCCGGAGAAGTTTTGTTGTTTGCGTCGTGAGGGTTGGCCCCGCGTGGAGAAATAAGGTCTGGAAGTGCTGGTGTGTGTCATCGGGGAAAGTAACGATGGAGGGATTGCAGGGCGGAGTGCTTGTGGGTTTGAAATGTTGTGATCACACACAAGTGACCAGGAGTCGCGGTTCAGTCAGAAAGTTCACGTCGGAGACAGCAAAACGTGGGCGCTGCTTCCCGACCGCAACATCTTGTCAGCGTAGGCCAGGATACAGAACGTGCTGCACATCACCTCTGCGTGCTGTTGTTGGGTGACAGCTCGTCCTGGAGGTTAGTCAGCTTCTGAGTGCAGGGTGAAAGTCCAGCGGTTTTATGCAGAGCTCTGTCCTTCCAAACTAACTCTTCCTTTTGGGTGTGTTTGCAGCTTGGTCTCCTAAGGAAAGAAGGCTTGTGGATGAGCTCTGTCCCTTCTCCACCTAGAGATTTGATTTCTGTGGCCTATTTCAATCAAATTTGTCAGCAGCAGAGGTATTAGAGATTGAAGTCTTTGGTTTTATGGAAATCAACATCTGTCAAATGCAGAAGATCCCATTTCTTGTGCATGCTAAGGGCAAGGCACCTGGAATCCAGCTTCTTGTGACAGACAGCCCAGGTGAACCAAGTCCATCAGCAAACACATGGCTGAATACAGCCCTCTGTTACTATGCCCTTTGTCCAGGGAAGCTTGTAGAGAAAAGGTGAAAATAAGGTGAAGAAGAAGAGAATAGTGATGTGTTGAGTCATTGGCCATAGATACATAGAAAATCACACATCTTTATTTCTGCTTTTCACATAATAGCTTGGCCTTCTATTAGCCTCCACCCAGATATGTGATTATTAAATCATTTTAGCAAAGATAACTTAATGGTTGCACAGTTGGGCATTCAGGAGTCATGGTGATCTAATAGCTTGATTTGGAAGTGTGATGTTATCCTTGCTTTTTCATATACAGTGCATTGGGACAGTCTTACATGATTATGTTACATAGCGCTTTTGCATCCTGCTGTGTTATTTGTCACTCATTAGTCGTGTGCAGTAATCAGACAAATAGGAAGGAAAAAACTTCCCATGAGGAAATAGTCATTATAATAAGGATTTAGAATTTTTGGTTTTGACTCTCAACTAGTGCCATAATAATAATCCAGAGGCACATTTTGAGGTGAAATAGGTTTGACAACTGAAAATACATTTGTCATTGAATGGGAAATAAGCTTAGAAGATTCTCATGTTGTGAGTGTGATTTGAAGATGCGTGTATTAATAATAACGTATTGGTTATGTGAAACAGTAGGAGAACATGGCTAACTTTGAAAGATTTGGATACTTATTCCCTCAGAAACTTACTTATTTCCTTAGATTATGGATACATGGGAGGATTTTAATGGAGTAGATGCAAAATCGTGGTGGATCCTGGAGGAGTGCAACAGCTGCAAAGAGATAATCAGGATGTAAGTGCTTGATAGTGGCTTTGCTGCTTTGATTCTTGGTTTCCCAAGCAGTGTCCCCAGGAGCTGACTGGGGACAGACTGAAGTGACTGCCACTCAAGTGGTGCTGTGTTGCTTGAGTGGCATGTGCCTGCTGTGTGCATTGCACACTTTTGTTTGTAGCTGAAGTTTAGTTGTAGTCTGAAATTCCAAAGACATCCTATGAACAGGAAGGTGAAAGTTCAGTGAACGTGTCCTGCTGACACCACTGACTGAGCTACTCCAGCTGATTTTCACCTTGGTTTTTCTTGGGCGCTTCCAAATTTTTTAAAGGGTAGAATTAAAGAGCTACTTGGGTGGTTGTGCTGGTGGTGATGGGTGTTTTTCCCCCTGTGGATGTTGAAATCATAAGAATACCTCTGGCTTTGAAATATTGAAGTATAACAAATTAGGCAACAAAGAGATTGGGAGTAGTGAATCCCAAACATCCAAGCATGTTTTTTAATTTGCTAAGTGTGTTGGTATAACGTATGTGACACTGTAACCAATCACATCCAGCTTGGATGTGAATTAATAGAGACTGTGGTTGAAGCTGAGTACTGTACAGGGTGGAAGAAGGAAAAAAAGGAAAGAAAGGAAGAAAGAAAGAAGGAAAGGAAGAAACATGTAAGGAAGTCAAAGGCTGGGACATGCTGGATTTGACCAGAACCATTTTATTGTTTACTTGTTGTGCAGTGGTGTTTGGGGTTTTGTAATAAGTGTTTAGATGCAAAATGGTCTTAAAAACAACTTTGTAAATGACATGTGCCTGAGGGGAGGGATAAGTAGCATAGCATTTGGTATGGAGGGATTCTCAATGTACCATAGCTATTTGCACTGGAAGAACTTGGTAAAAGTATTGTGAAGTCTGTGCCACTTTGAAGGATAGGGAGTAAGTACCACAGCAGTGTTTCAGCTGAGACAGTTCTGAATGTTGTCCCTGATTATAAAACACCAGTGGAGATGTGTGCCTACCTGTGGGTACAAACCAGGAGATTAAATGAAAATGGATGTGTAAAACGTGTGTGTGCATAGCATCTGACAGCTTTAGTGTTCCTAACCGTTTCATAATGGGTCCAAGGATAGTCCTCAGGCTTCTGAGGAAGTGTTATACTTATCTCTGGACTGATTGCTCACCCGTAGTATTGCCAGTCACCTTACAACTTAGTTCCTGTGCTAGCATTTGTCATCTCAGTCACGTTTGTGACTCCTTTATTCAAGTTAAGTCCCTCAGGAATGCATTTACTATTCTGAAGGGTGTCAATCATAATGTGAGTTGTATGTGTGTGTTCTGGAAAATCGAGTGACATCTCAGATAGAATGGTTGACCTGTAGGGCTTTCTTTGTTTCAGATTGTAGTAAAACGTGTAAAGGTTACAATTCCTTGCTGTTGTGTAGTCTCGAGTTTCTATAATGCTGACTGGTTACTTACTGGTTAACATGCAGGTTAAAATACAATTCCAGCTTTCCTATGTGCACATGATGTATCCAAAGTGTACTCTGGTTTGACCTTACAAGTGTAGCACTATTGTCATGCTCTGAGTGATTCTGCTGTTTGCAGAGGATTGACAAATTGTGTGTAAACTACATTTGTGTCTTGTATGAAAAGCTATGGCATCAGGCTTTTAAGGTGAATGAATGAGTTACTTTTGCAACCATGACATATGATAGCAGTCTTTTACATCAGCCACACTGTGTGCCATTGTGATTCACCTAAGAAGGAAGTAGCAGCCTGTTAAAAACATTTCATGCTTCCTGTTAACAAGTGTCTTTCTCACCCAGTTACCTGAGCTTCTGTCAGGTTAAGTGATCAAAGTGGAAGAACATGAAATGAGATCAGTGTCCTCTAAAAGCACATCTCAGTCATGTACTCTGACAGCAAAATGAGTTCTTTGTGGTCCATCTCTAGAGAGGCGGGAATGAGCAGAGTATGGATGTATTAACTTCTAGGCCTAAATACAGGTCTTGTGATCTGAATGTCATTGGTGTGGTGGGCAGCATCATGAGAAAATTACCAAAACCATTGCTCTTTAGGCTGCTGACACTGTTAAAAGCAGTGTATATGGGAAGAGGAGAGCTTAACCGTGAGAAGTTTGGTTTCTTCTTCAAGTAACTGAAGTTTAAAGTGAAAAGAACATCTCTTTGGGGTGTCTGCCTGCATCTGCACTCTGGACTGACTGGTTGGCTTAAGGGACACTTAATTCATGCCAGCCTTCAACCTTTGAAGTTGGACTCTGCCTTCATGCATCAGTGAAGTTGTTAGGTAGAAACTGAATACAAATCTTGGATGGGCTGGAAATCACCTTTTGCTGCTTCGTACTAAAGCTCTTCTTGCCACTTAATACAGCAATGAAATGGTGCTAGCCCAACACTGAGCAACTCCAAATCAGCAACAAGAAAAGGAACACCATTGCATTTTTCACTGCTGGAGGATCCGTAATATTCAGAGATGCTGTTTAAATATGATGTATCTGCAGTTTAAATGCTTGATTCTTCTATGGAAGTGTCTTGCTTGTAAATTCTGAGACTTTATTGAAGAAGTTTCTCTAGTTTTGGCATCATCTTGAGTCATAGTTACACAGACATTAAGCCAGTGCTGCTGCTGCAAGAAGCAACCTTGTACCAACATAAGCATCTTCAGTGTATTTGTCAGTGGAGGATCCTTTGTAATACTTCTGCAGTCAACTTCAAGCTGAAATAATGTTCTCATCTGTCTTCCTGTGCAAGTGCTGGTGAAGTGGGGGAGAGCTTAATTTTGCATGACTTTGGAGTGGGTAGGACAGTAGGGAAGAGTAACCCTCTTACTGAGTTTCTTATTGCTGCTGTGAGGGCAGTTTGTTAACTAAAGAAAGTTAGGTAGCTTGTTTCACATATGTTGCAGTATAACTCATTGACTCTGTTAGCATTGAGATTTGATAAAATAATACAAGCAAAAAGAAATCATTTTTGCAGTGCAACTGTTCGTTGCCTTTCAGAAGCCTGTAGCTTGCATCTCAACATAAGGAGAGTTAGACTGAGAACAGGTTGAATGGCCAGGCACAGAGGGTGGTGACCACTGGCACAAAGTCTAGTTGGAGGTCAGTAACCAGTGGTGTACCACAGGGGTCAGTACTGGGTCTGGTCCTCTTTAGTGTCTTCATTACTGATCTGGGTGATGGGGCAGAGTATGCCCTCAGCATATTTGCTGATGACAGCAAACCTTGGAGGAGTGGCTCATATGCCAGAGCAACGTGCTGCTGCCCAAGGGGGGGCCTCAGCAAGCTGGAGAAATGAGCTGACAGAAACCTCATGAAGTTCCACAAGGGCAAGGGTAAAGTCCCCTGCCTGGGGAGGAACAATTTAATGCACCAATATATCCTGGGGGCCACCCAGCTGAAAAGCAGCTTTGCAGGAAAGGACCTGAGGGTCCCAGTGGACACCAAGTCGAACGTGAACCAACAATGTGCCCTTGAGGCAGACGTGGTGAGTGCTGTCTTGGAACAAATTAGACAAAGTATTGCCAGCAGGTTAAGGGAGGTGATTCTTCTACTGTCCTCAGCACTGGTGAGGCCTGTAGTCAGTTCTGGGATCTCCAGTATGAGAGAGACATGGACATACTGGAGAGAGTCCAATGAAGAGCCATGAAGATGACTAATTAAGATACTAGACCTTATCTCACCCTAGGAGAGCCTGAGGGAGCTGGGACTGTTCAGCATGTAGAAGAGAAGGCTCAGGGTGGAATCTCATCAGTGTGTATAAGCACCAGAAGGGATGGTGCAAGGAGGAGGGAGCCAGGCTCTTTCTAGTGGTGCCCACTGACAGGACCAGAAGCGACGGGCAACAAAATGGGATGCAGGAGGCTCCATCTGCTCTTCAAGAAACACTTTCTTACTGTGAGAGTGCCAAGCACTAGAGCCGATTGTGCAGGGAGGTTGTGGAGTCTCCATCTTTGGAGATATTCAAAAGCTGCCTGGATATGGTCTTGGGCAACTGGCTCTAGGTGGCCCAGCTTGAGGCAGGGGAAGGAGGACCTGCAGAGGCTTCTTCCATCCTCAGACTTTCTATGATTCTGTAACACCATAACATACTTCACAACCTAAGAAACTCTCAGAAGAGTGCATAAAACTAAAAGCTGACAGTATTTATAGTGCTGTAGTCACATCTGGCCTACGTGCCCGTTGGTCTGTTATCGCTGTCTTTAGTTGCAACTGCAGCACTTACCATTTGTATACAAACTAAAAAAAAAAAGGATAATAATATCTATTTGATGTAGTACTTACCAAATATAGTGTAAATACAGTGTATTCTGTCAGCTTGCGTGTGCTCTGTACTTCTGAGTTGTGGTTTCCTTGCTCTGCAATGTTAGTTAGCTGTGGGATGCAGCTCTGCCTTTGTACTTCTAACCAGTGGTGCCCGTAACACCTGCACATCCATTCTTCTATCTTGGTCTCCATGGCTCAAGTACAAAGCTTCTGTTGGAGGCAGCTGTCAGGCACTTAGCTGCTGTCTGTGTCCATTTAAATGAAAGTGGGGGGAATTTGAGGGCTTCTTGGGTTTGATTTTGTTGAAGTCTGTGAGCAGAAGTGGTGCTCAGTCTCAGCTGATCCTTTGGAGTATTAAGTATTGCCTTTATGTGAAGCAGTGGTATCTGTCGAGGTCATGTTTTATACTTGCTGTGGTTGGCAGCTATAGAGAGTCCCACCTTTAATTGTCTCAAGAGGCTTTCCGGTCCATCTCACTCACTTTATCTGTGGTTTTCTGGTTTACTCTGGGTGGGATGGGAAGACCCTGTGTTTCTTAGCTTGGAAACATTAACTGTCTAAGCTGTCCCTTGCAAAGCAACACAATGGAGATCTCCCATTTCGAGCTTCACTTTAAGATACTCTTGCAAAGTCACTGTCAGGTGGCAATAAGGAGGTGATTGCAGACAGTTACAGAAAAAAAAAAGAGGGAGGTAAAGGCATTTTAATGTTATGGAATGGTTTTCTAATGAAGTAAAACTTGC